ATGCCTCGGGATCTACAATAATGAAGTTATGCAGAGATGGCATCATATCAGTGAAGTAATCGAAGCCGTCTTTGTTGAAGATCTGATACATCATTTCAAATATCTTCCACAGGTTTGGAGATATGCTATTGGATGTGATCGTTCCGATCAAAGTGAACACCTCTTCGTACAGTTCCATCAGTTCTTGATTGAAGATCGAGACAATCAATTGCAAGACAATGGGTTCCAGTTTGTCCATAATATCCTTATTCTCTTCCATCATAATCAGTATGGAGTCGATTGTGTTAAGAATACCCATTCCTGTCAATGCCTTGTCTTCGCTGTCCTCATCGGCGCCGGGATTAATCACGTGATTGAAAGTCTGGGCCAAGTGTTCGGTCATTTGGATGGCAATGGGTGTCAACTGTTCGCTGAAATTGCAAACAACTTTCTGCATAACATTTGTCAGTTCTTCGCTTTCGGTCTCACGAATCACTTTCAGTAATTCCAGCGCTATTTGCGTGATATTCGGTTCAATCATTTGCTGCGCTTTGGACTGCGAAGAGATCATGTCTTGCAAAGAGATGGCCGCTTGAACTTTGACCGGAAGATCCTTATCAGTGAGCAGACAGTTCTGGAGGTAAGACAGGCCCTGATAGAGGTTGGCGTCGTTGGTGAACGTGATCTGATAGAAGTGGTGCAGAACCCAACACGAGCGCGCCCTCAGATAGCCGTGCGGTGACTGGAATTGCGGGAAAACATACGCCACAACCATATTCTCCATCTGATCCTTATATAAGTCCTTTTTGAGGAGAATGTCTGCCACCGACCCGACCATATGGAGGGCGCCGTCTTTCATGCGCGGATCGGACGTCGCGTTACTCAGCACTTGAACGGCGAAACCCATCGACTTTTGGAGCATATCTTTGCGTTTCTTACAACACGTGTGCAGAAGTGTTTGGGCGGCCGTCACGGGACTCACGTAGTCCTCGAAGACGTCAAACTTGAGGCGAATGTATTCGTGCGGATCAGTGCTCCAGAGCTCGTCGTCTTCGTCGGTATAACACATGAGAGGGAAGAGTATATTCTGAACGATGACAGACATGTGTGTCTTAATCAGTTTCCACGTAAACGCGTGATTGACAGCTGTGTTCAGGTAATTGAGGCCCTGTTGTAGGACACGGGGCGGCACATA